AGGAGATACAAAAAGAACCAGTCCGGTTTTAAATACATGTGCTGAAAACAGAAACAATAGATATCGCCCATTCGGGATGGTGGTGTGAGCCATCAATGTTATGAAGATAAAGTGATATAAAACTCCGTAACAAACCTACTAGTGCTCGAAAATTTTTTCAAAGTTTCCGTCAAAAATTACTTGTTACGAAAAAGCACTATGAATTTGATATGCTGCACCCGGAAACAGCGCACAACAGTAATGAAAGCGCATTTCTCGATTCGGCCCTGATTACAAGTGAAAGGCAAGTTTCGTTCCGAAGTATTTTGTAGTATTCCTAGACTATTGCAGAAAATTACAGTAATTTTGGATATCACATATTTTTTTTTCAGATAATTGGCAAATAGCTTGCAAAGAGCAGCCCAGTACTTTGCTGCGCAAGTCTAGTAAGCCTAGTACGTTACATCTCAAATAACTTCGGAAGCTCACAGTGAAGAAGTTTAATCTTGGAGCTTCGATGATATTCATGCCTTATAAGCACAAAGAAGTCTACCTCATCAGGATAAACAACATGGAATACATAGCCGAAAAAGAGGCCAAGAATAATCAAGAGAGCTGAATCCGGTAATAAACTGTGTACACGTTGAAAACGATGAAAAACTGAAAAAGAAAAGCAAAGTTATCACTTTAAATGAATACAAAACAGGAAACTAAACAATCACGCAAGCAAAACAGAAGACATTCTGCGTATAAGCACAGAACCATTTTAAACAGTGATTTGCGCGAGAACTTTTTGTTAAAATATAGAAAATTAATAGACTGCCTTTATTTCATAACAATCGCTCACTTTAAACTGATCAAACTGCCCACAGTTCGAAGCTAGCTTCATGCACAACCTGCTCTCTGTGACGGATGGAGGTATTCGGAACTAGCCCGAGTGATAGCACATGTAGCAGTAACCAAAAACAAGCAAAGCTATCGATGGCTCTCTCTTTCGAGAGTTAATTTAAAGCAAACTGATGATGGTTTTAACTACTTGAAATGTGTCAGCAATAATTTACCATCGAAACTAATGAATGAATCGCAAAGGGGCAATCGACTGGAGGAGTTGAACCCTCGCCTTTTCTGAGCAGGCAAGTAACGCCACTTAAATATATCACATGTGCTTACAGTCTGAAGTTATGCACAGTTAAATCAAATTGTCCGCCCCTCAATTTGACGGTAAACTGCTAATGATATGCGCGCAGTAGCACTGGAGGAATCCAAACGCAACCAAGCTTACTTTTCAAGCATTTCTGAAAAACAGAAACCTCCCCAGTTTTGTTAACTGATGTAAGCTGTTCAGAATGAATCATCGAATGAGGCCTTGATCTCACGAAAGCTGATCTAAAGATGGGGCAAGTATTAATTTAAATCAAACCACAAAAAATTAACGAGACTGATACAGTAAATGCAAACTAACCAACTTTCATAATAGTTACTGTAAAAAACCAAAACGAAATTGTAAGCGGTACGCTAACGTGCTCCCACTGAAACTTGAATAACGATATTTTATGACGATGCACGCCCGGATCGCCATCCGTGGCTACTGTTACGGTCTTTTCCTTCTCTTCGTCATCCTGCAACTTCGATTTTCCATTCACAACAGCAAGTATGCATGTTAATTGCATATTTTCTTTTCTAATTTTCATAATTCTTCTGCATTTATGCACATATTCAAGAGACTGTGTGTATTTGTTGGACCCGACAACCGATAAATATTGTTTATCGGGACTGATATTAGGGAGGAAATCAGCGGCATTCAAACAGCCCCCAAAAAGGAGGTATAAAAACGACTGGCAGAATGTTCAGACGATTTAAATTGATGAGTGGTTTCAATTCAGCAACAGTGAGAAGACCAGCACTACTAATGAATAAACTTCTATCATATATGGATCACTCACAAGAGCAAGGGGCCCCAGCGTGGTCTGGTCGTGCGCTTGAAGACGAGGTGCTGACGCTCAACAAACAACGAATCTCTAAGAAGTTAAAATCTTTCCCAAGGTGCTTCTGTCAGGAGAGCCACCGATCCGATAAACCCTTAAGAAGACCGGAAGAACAACAGGGAACACCAGAACGATGACCATCAGGCAATGCAGAATTAGTTGGTTGTTGGCTATATCATTAATGAATTAATGGTGATCTAGCCAGATCAGACAGCAGGTAAATATACATGAATAAAATTTTATGCAATTCTCACATCACAAACTTCAGCAATAGTCTTACCAGAAAGAACAGTGAAATATTCAGGAAGCTGAAATATTCAGGGTTTTTGAAAAAAAAAGTTAAAATTTTAATCAATGAAACATCAGGTAAGACAGCGAAGTCACCAGAAAATAATAAATGCGATTTAGGTTATTTGTAGGATACCAAATTCTCAAAAGAGAGGAAGGGGAAAAAGGGCAACTTCTTTAGCTGGCTAATTCCGGAAGTTGTTCGTAGTGCAGCACTCTTTATTAGATAAACCAAAAGCAAACATACGTGCAAGTTGAGCGGATCAAAACCTTCGGCCGGTGCACCCGCAATAACTCTCATTTTCAGTAATGCGCATAAAAGCAAAAGCAGGCAGTAGGTAGTTCTCCGCTGGATGAAGAGCTTCCTGAATGGCATCCCTAACCGCTGAAATATTAAGCACATTTGCCTGAGAAACTGTAAAAGACTAGCGACGGCAGAGATGAAAACGCGTACAAAATATGAACAAGGAAAAGCAAAAGGGCATTTAAA